CGCCCGCTCCGCGGGCTCCGCGCGCCCCGGCGCGGCGGGCCGCGCGGCGGGCGCGGCCGCGGCTGCGCCGCCGTGGCTCCTGCGCCACCACGGCTGCGGCAGGGCGGCGGCGAGCGGCCCGCCGAGGTCCGCCGCGCCCACCTCGGGAGGGCGTGGGCGGTGCACCCGCACGGGGCGCACAGGGACACGACCACCCCAACCCCAACCCGAAGATCCGAACTTCCGGCTGGGGGGGCTACGGGTGTATACATATATATAGGTGTTTTTCTATATGCACCGATATATAAATATACATATATATATATATATGTATATATATATATGTATATGTGTGCGTGTGCTTGTTCAGAGTTTCCCGACAACCCCCCCACACAGGAAATGGAGGGCATAGTGAGCGGGCATGGGGTCGGGTCGGGCTTGGAAATAGAGGGCCTTCGGGTCGAGTTGGGGTGGCTTGGGTGGGTGGTGAAGTAGTACCCATCGGTCGGAAGAAGCAGGTAAAAACATAGAGTAGGAAGGCGTTGAGAGTAGATTGGGTGTCCGCCCGCCCCCTGAAGAGGACAGAGAATGTGAAGCCGCTCGAACATTGAAGTCGGAAGGCGCTTAAAGTAGACTGGAACCTGGGACACCAGAAATACCTAATTACGTTCAACGACCGATGGGTATGCGTCCTCCTGAGAGGCGCGCGTTCGCTCCCAAAAGCGGGCAGATCTGCAGTGTGGCATATAGTTTTCCAAACAGTGGGGCCAGATAGCGCCCGCAAAGGGGCGCACACTGTGAGATTTTTCTATGCGCGCGTCGCCCCTGGGGGGGCGACGCACGCCGACCACACGCCGATCCTGGCCAGGCTCATCATCTGGGCCCAGTCTCGGCGCATACCCTGATGTTGTTCCCGTCGTACTTGGGGACCACATCCCAGCAAGAATTTCGAGCACCACGAGAAGCGTCGAAACAGTGTCTGCCGGACACGACAGCGAAAAGTCCCACGAACATCGCCCCCCAGGGTCCGACGCGTGAAAACCGTTCAGGCTCGGCACTTTCCTGGCACTCGAAATTCTTTCGTGAACAAGGCTCCAGTAGATTAGACCATCATTGAAGGGGCCCCAGGACACACCAATAAATACACACAAATAAAACAAATCCCTGTATTGTCTTATATTTTCTGGGTTTCTGTCTTCCCCCCCACTTCGCATATTTTCCCACAATTCCTGAAGAATCGAGGATTAATTCTGTCTGTGTGTTTTTTCCTCTCCTGAATCAGAAGCGAGCCCAGACATCCCGGCGTGGCAACTTTCCAAAGCCGGGCGCGGTCGCCCGCTCTCCCGCCCGGGGGGCACCCCTCGCTGCACGATCCTCGAGACACTGGCGCAGCAGGATGGGTCCGGGGCCTCTGGTCGCGACGTTTCGCTGCTGCCTTTTGCTGCGCGCCGCCGGCTCTCAGGGCACGGCGCGCTCCCTTGGCCGCGGGCAGGGAGGGACAGAAAACCGATCGAGGTCGGAGCAGGGCGGTTTGAGACAGCGACGGGATCGGTCCCCAGACCCCTCTCTGGGGCAGGCGCAGAAGCCTCCCTGGCTGCGTCCAGCCGTGGCAGAGATGGGCCCGCCCAGGGGCCAACTGTCGCTGTCAACTCGCCCCCGTCCGTGCATGTGTACGTTGTCTCGTGTTGTGTGCGCTGTGCTGTGCCGTGGCTTAATGTGTTGGACTGCTGTGTGTTGTGTTGCGTGTGGGTGTGCTTGTGTGTGCGTGCTGTGTTCTGGTGTAGTGGTGCTGTGGCATAGTGGCGTGTGTTGCGTCGGTGGGTTGGTGTGTGCGAGCGTGGGTGTATGCTTGTGTACGTGCGTGCGTGTGCGCGCTAGCTATGTGCGTCGCGTGCGCGTGCGCGTGCGTGTGCGCGTGTGCGTGTGCGTCTGCGTGTTGTTTATGATGATTACGTGTGTTGTTCAGCGTCAGCGTACGTGTGTTGTCTTCTATGTGTGCGCGCGTGTGTACGTCGTTCCGAGGCTCGTCGTCGTCGTCAATTCGTCGTTGTCTCAACTCTCCCTCCTCAGGAGTTTGGTAACTCCCACACCTCTGGACGCCCGAAATCGGCGCGAACGCAAATTACGCGAGTCCCAGCAAGGCGACACCCGTCGTCGGGGTGTCCGCACACCCGCGTCGACAGGTGTCGGCGCACGCTTTCGGGCCCCGTGGCCAGGCCGCGCTGTGCGGCGCGCCTGGCATAGGCGCCGCACGGAGCGCCGGAGTGCAAGAAACCCCGAAACGACCGTGGCGAGGGGGCTCTAAACAGCGCCATCCCCGCCGCGCCCCGACAACTGTCACTGCGAGGTGGACGAACTCTGGCGCGAGCGCGCGCCCCACGGCGGCTCCTTCGTCGCGTCATCGGCCAGCGGCGGACCGCGCAACCCGGCGCACGGCGCGGCCCGCGATCGCACCCTGCGCGAATTCGCGACCGCCCACAAGCACTCCCAGACCCCTCCGACACCCAGGGAACTCTAATTATAGGAAAAACCACCGATCGCGCGCGGCGCAGCAAGGCGCCACCCTTCGACGGGGTGCTCGCGCCCACGCCGATGCTTTTCGGCAGCCTCCTTTGGGCCCCCGTGGCCAGGCGGGGCTCCGCGGCGCGCTGGGGCATGGGCGCCGCAAGGAGCGCTGAAGACCAAAGCCAGCAGGCAGCCAAGGGCGGAGTGAGGCGCTGGCGAGGCGCGCCCCAACCGATCGGCGGCAGTCGCGCATGGCGCGCGACGCCGCCCTTGCACCGCCCTCTCGTCGCTGCCCGACGACTCGGCAACGTTCGCCGAGATGCACGGCGTCTCGCTCCAACGTGCGCGCATCCACGCATGAAAGGAAGGCCGGAGCCCTCAGCTCGCCATCGCTCGGACGCCCCTTCTCTGTGCGTTGGTTCGTCGTCGTGCGTCTGTCTTCCTTTTCCGGAAGAGCCACTGCTCCTCCGTGGCCCTCGCCGAAACTTGATGCACACGTCCGGGCGATGCCGGGTCGGGTGCGCGGCCGCCCTCGCGCTGCGCGGCAAGACCCAACGCGACGCCTCCACGCCCCCGCTCGAAGGGCCTCCGCTGAGGCGCAACCCCAAGCCGCCGAGCCGTCATAACCTGAGGCGCGCGACGCCTCGTCTGCGCCCCCGGCCGAGCACCTGCGCGCCTGGGCGCGCCGGCCGCGGAAGTCCCCCGCGCGCGCGGCAACCGCCAGCGCCAGCCACGCTCGGCGAGCGGAGCGCCCCTGCGCAGAGCCCAGGCGGGCGTGCCCCTCCACCGGTGGAAGACTGTTTCAAGAGTAGTCCAAAAAATAGCCTGGGTAAGACATTTCGACCCTTATTGGCCAGTTCTACATATTTTTCACACACGCACACACACACACACAAACAAACAAAAAACGCCTGTAGGAGGCGCGCGACGCCTCGACGGCGCCCTAATTAGGCCGAGCACCGCGCGCCCGGGCGCGCCGGCCGCGGAAGCCCCCAGCGCGCGCGCGCGCGGCAGCCGCCGGCACCAGCCACTCTCGGCGGGTGGGGCGCCCCGCGCAGAGCCCCGGCGGGCGCGTCCCTCCACCGGAGGAAGATTCTGTCAAGAATTCACTGCGAGCGCGGCCGCAAGAAACCCCCGCAAGAAACCCAACCCTGAAACCCCGCGCGCGCGGTGCCCCGGAGGGGACACCCGGAGCACCCTGAACGCAGCAGCTCCTGCAACGGCCGCGGGAAGTCGCCGCGCAGCGCGCGGAGCGAAGAAACCCACGACACCCTGACGAAAAGCACATGGTTTCTTGATGCGCGCCCCCACTGCACAGTCGGACTTGACTGGACAGGACACGCCAGAGGACACAAGACCCTTCCGAGGGCCAGGTCGCCAGAGGAATGCAAGAAGGCACGCGTCGCGAGGCACTGGGCACAAGGGCGCCCTTGAGCTGGCAGGGTCCACCTGCGGATCCGGGCCGACTGCAGTCTAAGCGTAGCCTGGGGACGATGCGTCGACCCCTGCTGGCCAGTTCTACATACATTCTGGGGCCAGCGCTCGTCTCTCTTCCCCCCCCCAAAAAAAACGCCTGTGTAGCAGGACGTGCCCGACCGAAGCGCGCCCTCCACTTGGGGGGCGGAAAGATACGGATACGTGTTGTCCCCGGACCTCTCTTGGGGTGCGTTCTGACCAGAATTTCGAGGCGAATCCAGCGGTGACAACGAGGGTTCCCCAGGAGGACCAGGAAAGGCCGAAAACGACGGGGGACAACACGTATCCGGATCTTTTTCTCCCCCGAATCTCTCTTCCCCCCCAAAAAAACGCCTGTGTAGGAGGACGTGCCCGACCGAAGCGCGCCCTCCGCGGAACTCGGGCCGGGCGAAAGGGGGGGATTGGGAAAGGGGGGGTTACGAAATCTGCTGCATGCAGCTGGTTTCGGCCCCGCCGAGGGACCCATTCCTCGATACATGGGCGCCTCCCGGCGCCGGGAGGCGCCGGGAAAATCAGCTACGTGAGCTGATTCTCAAAACCCCCCCTTTGCTATCCCCCCCTTTCGCCCGACCCGAGGAACTCTCGCGCGCGCGCGGCGACCGCCGGCGCCGGCCCCGCGCGGCGAGCGGAGCGCCCTGCGCGGCGTGCCGCACGCGCCCGCACGCGCCCGAAAACTCGACCCGCCGGCGCCCGGCCAAACGTACCAGGCCTGGGTCGGGCATGTCCTCCTACAGGCGGAAACAAAGCACCCCCCCCCCCAAAAAAAAAATACTGCGGGGGGCAACAAAAAACATAACTCCTCCTCCTCCCTCTCCTCCTCCTCCTCCTGCTCCTGCTCCTCCTCCTCCCCCCTCCTCCTCCTTTTTCTCCTCCTCCTCCTCCTCCTCCTCCTCCTCCTCCTCCTCCTCCTCCTCCTCCCCTCCCCCTCCTCCTCCTCCTCCTCCTCCTTCCTCCTCCTCCTCCTCCTCCCTTCTCTTCCTCCTCCTCCTCCTCCTCCTCCCTCCTGCTCCTCCTCCTCCTCCTCCTCCTCCTCCTCCTCCTCCTGACGATTGAGTAATGCTATGTTTGAACATGCCTCCTGTAGAGGGACAGGCGCGACTGAAAGTCCAGGCGCGTTGACGGGGAGCGCAAACGCCAACACCCGCGCGCAGGGAGGCCTCCTCGCCTCCTGGCGTCCAGGGCGCGAAAACATGGATTAGCGATCCATGGACTGGGCGCGCGGTCGCCAAATCCATGGGTCGGGGGAAGCGCCCTCCCATAAATGCGGCCGGTGCCGCCTCGCTCGGCGGCGGAAATCAGCGACTCCCTATGGAAAAAGGGACCCGGCGCTAATCCACGTCCCCTTGATCCATGTTTGCGATCGCCTGAAGTTTTCTCACTTCTTCAGCCTTAGGTTGGGCATGTCTTCCCACAGGCGGACTCTGCGCAAAAATTCAAAAATTGTTAAGGAGTAGCCCCCAAAAACAGCAGAAATGAACCAGAACAATCGTCCCCAGAGTATGTTCTACGATGTTCGAATATTCCTCCTCTAGAGGGATAGGCCCGACTTACCTTTAACCGCAGGCAGAGCTCGCCCCTCGCAGGCCCACGCCCGCCGGCCACGCCAGCGACAACGGCCTCCCCTCGCGCGCGGCCAGCGCGCCTCGAGCTCGCGCGCGCGGCGGGGACGCGTGCGAGAGCAGCCACGGCAGGAGGAGGAGGAGGAGGAGGAGGAGGAGGAGGAGGAGGAGGAGGAGGAGGAGGAGGAGGCGGAGGGGGAGAAGGAGGAGGAGGAGGAGGCGGATGAGGAGGAGAAGGAGGAGGAGGAGGAGGAGGAGGAGGAGGAGCGACCCCCCACACTCGCCTTTCCTCGCACCTGCCAGGAGCCGCATTGGCGCGGCCTGCGGGGCCCTCGCCTACCCACGGGGCCAGCCTCTCGAGGAACGGCATCCTGACGAACTGCGGCGAGCGAGGCCCCGGCAGACCACGCGAGGCCACTGCCGCCTTCGCACGGCTTGACGGCCAGTCAGGTGGCAGGACAAGCCACGACATCCGCTCCAGCCAGCAGACAGCCCTGAAGCGAACGTGCGCCGCGGAAGGAGCAGAGGTGCCCGGGCACCTGGAAGTCATGTTCCACGACATCTAGCCCCTGGGCGGTCGGAGGCAAGGCCAGGCCCAGAATGGCCCCTGGGCATACCAAGCCAACGGCGCAAGCCAGAACGCACACCTGCAGTGCTCTTCGGGGAGCTGCCCCGCACAGCGGCCGACCTCGCGGCGCGCGCCCGCTCCTCTCTGTCGCCCTCGGGCGCCAGCGCCGCCCGCAGTGCCCCCGCAGCGGCGCAGGGCTCGGGGCCGAGGAGGAGGAGGAGGAGGAGGAGGAGGAGGAGAAGGGAAGAGGGGGAGGGGAGAGGGGGAGGAGGAGGAGAAGGAGGAAGAGGAGGAGAAGGAGGAGGAGGAGGAGGAGGAGGAGAAGAGCAGCGGAGAGCAGCGGCAGGACGTCGCGTCGGCCAGGCCAACTAGACGCAGCACAGGCGGCCAGGGGGCCGCAGCCTCAGGGGAGGCCAGTGATGCCGATCACGTCGACGGACGCGAAGGGCGGCGCGCTGGGGCCAGACCGCCGCGCAGCGCCTTGCGGCGAGCCGCTGGGGCCAGAACGCCACGCAGCGGCTGCCCGTGCCAGGAGAGGCCGACCCTCAACCACTTCTCCGTCGCCTCCTGCGTCCCGCATTCCACGGCACCGAAGGCGCTCTGAGCGGGCCAATGGGCGGTGGCTGCCCTTCCCGCCGCAGCTCGGCCAGCCACGTCCGCAGGCACACGTAGTCGTAGCGCCGCATGCAGTCCGACACGATCCTCTGCGACCGCGTCAGCGTGTGGCGCCACCTGTAGTAGGCCCGCCTCGCGGGCATGCCAGTCCCCCAGGCCCGCTCGCAGATCTCCTCGGCCATCTCCTCGGCCGTCCTCCCACGCGCCCGCAGCCTGGTGGCGAAGCGCGGCTGGGACAGGATCTGCGTGACGTAGCCGACGCAGTGGTCGAGCCACTCGCTGTAGCACTCCATCGTCTCGCCGACCTCGGGAGCCTGGGTCCAGTACCGCGCCCATCCAGCGACCTGCAGCTCAAGCCTGGGCGCGACGCTGCGCCTCGGCTGCGCTGGCTCAGGCCGAGCCACCGCAACTCTGCCAGCACTCAGGGCGGGGCCGCACACACGGTCGGCACTTGCAGGTCCCCTGCCACCCCTGGTGCTGGCCATGCACATGCCGTCGCGGTCCGCGTCGCTTCCTGGGCTCAGGGCGGGGCCGCACTCACGCACGCACATTGCAGGTCCCCTGCCACCCCTGGCCCAGGCCGTAATCCGTCGCCGCTCGGGGTGGGTGCTGGTGCTCAGGGCGGGGCCGCACTCAGGACCGCAAACTGCAGGTCCCCTGCCACCCCTGGCACCAGCCGTAGCTGCACGTGGACACGCCTCCCCAGAAGCCAGCTGCGGCTGCCGCTGGTCCTCCTCAGGCGACGCCGCTTCCAGAGACCCGCTGCCAGTGCCCAGGGCGGGGCCGCGCACAGGACTGCACTTTGCAGGTCCCCTGCCACCCCTGGCGCTGGCCATACCCTTGCCGTCGCGGTCCTCGTCGCATCCTGGGCTCAGGGCGGGGCCGCACTCACGCACGCACATTGCAGGTCCCCTGCCACCCCTGGCCCAGGCCGTAAATCGTCGCCGCACGCGGTGGGCCTGGCTGCCGTCGCCGCCAGTGCCCAAGGTGGGGCCGCACTCAGGGTCGCGGCTTGCAGGCCTCCTGCCACCCTTGTCACTGGCCATGCCTGGCAGCGCCCGCTGCGAGTTGTCAGACCTGCCAGCACTCAGGGCGGGGCCGCATTCGCGACCGCACTTTGCAGGTCCCCTGCCACCCCTGGTGCTGGCCATATCGGTAGTCGAGAACGGCTGCGGCGGGCTGCTCATGTCCTGAGGGCTGGTCACGGCGCCCTCCTGGTGGTCCGTGGTCAGCGTCACCTCGTGTGCCAGGTCACACCTCAAGGGCGCAGGCAGCCGCGACGGCCCCGCCGCCAGACAGGCATCGACCACCCCCACGTCTGGGGCAGCTGGCGGCGGCTGGAGCGTCACCAGTCCAGTGGTGCCCCCGTCGGGGCATTGGTGCGCTCCATAGGCCGAGGGCAAGCTGCCGTCGGCCATGTCTCCCTCATCACGCTGCGCGCCGCTGGCGGCTGCTGGACCACGTTCGGCTAGCAGATGCTGCTGCCTTCGCTGCATCCGTTCCAGGAGCTCCTGCCGTCGCACCCGCCAAGCAGGCTTCTTGGTCTGGACTGCGTCGGAACCTCCAGCCCCTGCAGGCACCTCGCGCGTCTCGTGGTCCTGGCCAGGCCTGGTCGCCTCGCCCTGTTCCTTCTGCGCGTGCCTGCCGCTTGGCCGCTCTGCAGCGCCGTCGCCCCCAGAGGCCATGTCGCCCGCGGCCGCGCTGGCCGCCGCTGTGGCCCATGTTCTGGGGCCGTCTGGAGCCTCGCCTGCACCTCCCCAAGTGAGCACCTTTCCTGTCTTGGGGTGCAGCCCTTGGCTGAGCTTCTTGAGCCGCGCCCTGAGGTTGGACAGGTAGGTGCGCTGGTTCTTGCCCTCGGCGCTGGGCGGGCCAGCGCAGGGCGCAGCCAGGGCCAGTGAGGAGCCTGTCGCCGCCCACGCCACGCATACCTCGCAGTAGATGGTGGGCCCTGCGCGCCTCAGCCTGTGCCCCTGCATCTCGATGGTGCCGTCCCCTGAGCCCCAGGGGGCAGGCTCGGCTGGCCTGGGCCCCGCATCTTCGGGGCACGCCGCGCGCTCGATCGCCTGCATAGCGAACTCGCCCGCCTCCGAGACCACAATGGGCTGCGCGCCGACGTGCGCGATGATGGCCTCGGCCCGCAGCGCGGTGTACTGGCTGGCCTCGCAAGCTGAACGCGCGAACTGCGTCCATGTGGGCCCCGTCTGCCCGCTGGTCTGCCTGCAGCAAGCGCGGCACAGCACCACCGCCGTCCCGTTCAGGCGAACCAGGGAGTGGCTGATCACAGTCGCCGCCTGCACCTTGGGCACCTTTGGCGGGCGGGCTGTCTGCTCGGGCGCATCCCAGCGGCCTGCGTGCATCGTCCTCTGCATCGCCCAGCCGACGTACTTTGCCAGGCTCTTGTAGTGTTGCAGCTCGATGTTGTAGAACTCCTCGTACACCTTCGACACGGTGTGCTGCATGGCTCCTTGCCGAGCGAACCAGTCGGCCCACATGTTGCCAGAGTACAGCAGCGGGTGGAGGCCTCGGTCCAAGTACGCATCCATGTCCTGATGCGCGGGGATCCATCTCACTTCAGGCCGCGCTGGCTGGGCACGAATCCGTCTCCACACTGTGGCATGTGCCGCTCGCGCCTCCTCTAGCTCCTGCCCCCAGTGGCTGCATTCCTTCTCCATCGACAGAAGGTCGGTGAAGACGAACTCGAGCTGCGGCCCCGCGAGCCGCAATGCCTGCAGCAGCGCGTGCCTCTCCGCGCGCCCGACCGTCTGGAGCGGCCCTGGCAGCGCCCCGAACGCCGCCCGAACAGGCAGTCCCTGGAGGGAAAGCTGCACGAAGGCCCATCCGCAGCGCCTCAGCTCGGGCATGCTGGACGCGAAGCCTGAGCCATCGGTGAAGACGGCGTTGCTGCAGGAAGCCGTGTCCGCCCCTTGGCTAGGCCAGCAGCCCCAGAACTTCACCTCGGCCTGCTCCGCGGCGGGCGGCACGAATGGCGGCATGCAGGGCAAGCACATTTGGAAGTCGGCGCTCTCGAAGCTGCCGCCCTCCTGCAGGCCTTTGTCGCACATGAAGGTGCGGATGGCCTGCATCGGCTCGGGCGGCAGCTGCTCGTCCTGCTCCTCCTCTGTGAGCGGCTGCACGAGTACCTCGCAGCCGAAAAATCTGTGCCCAGGCGAGTCGGACGGATGTCCGCAGGCCCTGCAATTCGGCGCCGCCGCCAGCCCAAGGTCGTGCTGGGCCTGTTGCGTCCAGGCCACCGTCGCCCAGTGGTGACGCAGGCTGGTGGCCGACGGGCCCTCCGCCAACGCCGCGCGCCCGTCGCCCACGCAGAGCCGCATGGCCCGCACCCAAGGCTTGACCTCGCCGTGCTGGCGGTGGTGCGCCGCGATCTGCCTCGCCTGCCAGCGTTGCACGCCGCCGGTCAGATGCATCCTGACGTCCTTCGGGCACGTGGTGAGGAGGTTGATCGCCGTATCCTGGTCGGTGACCAGGGTCGTGCTGGAGTACATGTGCCATCCGATGCGCCAGAGCGTCAGCGTGACGGAGGCGATGGGACCGCGAGCCCCTGCCCAGGACGGGCGCCCCACGAGCCGCTCCGTGACCTTGGCCCAGGCCCTGTGGAGCCTAGCCAGGGAGGTGCGTTGTTCCCAGATCCAGCTGGCGTATCGGCAAACGATGTCGCAGGTGGCGCCGTAGATGGGGTCGTACTCGCGCGCCTTCTGCGTGGCTAAATACACCGTGACGCTCGATGCACCTGGCCGAGCCCCTGCAAGCCTGCCAGCCTCGGCCCTCAGCACCTGCAGCGTATCGTCGGTGAGCCCTGACACCCCAGCACCGTGCGCCGCACTCGGCATGAGGCCCGTCTTCCACAGGCAGGTAGCGCGCCTGCCCACTGCCCCTTTGAAAGCTGCCAACTTGCCGCGCCGCTCCTTGAGCTGCCGCACCCGCTTTGCCGTCTGGAGCCTAGCGATTCTGCGCCCGCCCAGATCGTGCCCCAGGTTGCGGGCCCAGCGCATCTTGGTCAGCTTGCGGGCCGCCGCGTGTCGGGCACACTCGCGAGCAGCCGCGTCCGATGAGACCAAGTAGCCCGACTTGGTGGGCTGCACGACAATGCCTCGCTCCTGGGCGCCCTCGCGGAACCTGGTGGTGGCCGCCCAAAGCACGCCCAGTTGCGAGAGCCGCCTCCCGCGCCACTGCAAGGTGACGTCGTCGATGAGGGCCCTCGGGGTGACGCCTGCATCTCGCACCTGCTCGAGCAGCCTGAACATGAGCAAGGTGACCATGGCACAGGCGTGAGTGCATCCTGCGAGCACGCCCTGATGTGACACGACCGCGTAGGACACCGAGCCGAAAGCTTGCAGCCGCCTCGGCTGCCTGTATAGCTCAATCAACATCCAGACCAACCGCAGCGGCATGCCCAGCAGCCGCGCCTCGATGAGTAGCCACTCGGGCTTAATCGTCTCAAAGAACTTCCAGGCGTCCAGCATGACGATTACGACGTGCTCGTCCAGGCAGTCCGATACCTCCGTCTCAAGGTTGAGGTCGAAGGCGGAGTCGGAGGAAGATCTGCCGCCGCCCATGCCCCAAATACTGGCATTGGGGTGCGCCGTCAGCCACGCCTTGGACGTCGAGGCACGAGCCCTCGACCACCATCGGATTAGCGAGTGCATCAGCGTGATCAGCCTGCAGCCGCCAGAGGCCTTGGGGATGCGGCACATAGCGTGCCACAGCCTTTCGCTGGGCCAAGCCCCCAGCGCCTCGCACTTCATGAAGAGCTGGCCGCAGGTGTAAACGCCGTCGTCCGTGAGAAAGGTGAGCGCGCGCATACCGATCTGCGCTGGGCCGAGCGCCGTGGTGGTGGGGAAGCTGCAGGCGGCCCGCTGCAGCGCCTCCACGGTGAGGTCTTCGAGGTCGTCCCATTCGTCGAAGTCAGCTGGCCTTTCCAGCGCCTCGAGCTTGTGGCACGACCAGACGTCCTCCCAGGCCTTCATCTCCCGGTCGCAGATCAGGTGCTGGCTGGCGACCTGCTGCTGCGGGACGAAGGTCTGGGCGAGCCGTCCAGTGGTGAGCTCGGTGTGGGTGCCCTGCCATTGCGCCAGCACCTCCTGCATCGCCCGCAGCTTGGTGAAGCGGTGCGCCTTGCCAGCGCCGTTCCGCAGGCTGTCGTTGGCCCACTGGATCCAGCTCTGCTGCCTGACCTTGAGCGCGTCCGCGTGGGCGTCCTTGGCGAACTGGACGATGCGGCCCGCCTGCTCCAGGAAGTCGGTGTTGCCGATCACGCGAAAGCCCTGCTCGAAGAAGGACCTCACCCAATGCGGGAGCAGTGCCAGCGTCTTCTTGCTGTCCATAACCACGCGCCCATACTCCAAAGCCCTCGCGACGAAGTCCGCCAGCTCGTGGTACTGCTCAGGGACAAGGGAGCACTGCAGGCTGGCGGTTTGCAGCCTCCTGCTGGCCTTCGCGAGGAACGCGCTGACCCCCATGAAGTGACGCGCCCATCGGCCCGCGACCTTGGCCGCGATGACATCAGGCCCCAATCGGACACGCTGCCCTTGCGGCTTCCACTTGACTGGCGCCAGCTTGGTCGCAATGGGCCCCGCACGTCCTTCGAACCGCCTGCGCGCTTCGCCAACCTGGTCGTAGCGGTCCAACAGCTCCTGCTCCAAGGTGCTGACGACGGCGTCCCAGGCTGCTGGCAGCTCCTCGGCGCTGGTTGTGGCGCGCACCTGGGCCAAAGTGGGCGCCCAGTCCTCGACACCGCGGCTGCAGCCGATGGGCGGCACCGCTGGAATCGCCCTGGGGGCGATCGGGATCCTCACGCGCATGTCCAGGTCGGCGGCACGCAGCTCCATGTTGACAGGGAGGTGCGGGGAGGTGATGCCCAACTCATCCACTCTCGGAGCCGAGATGCGGCTGGCCAGGTTTGCACCGACCAGAAAGTAGTCCAGCACCGAGCCGCTGCCCGCCTGTGGGCGGCAGGTGTCGGCCGACGGCGCTAGCCAGAGGCCCCCCGCCTTTTCCAACTGCGCCAGGGGCAGGCAGCTGGGAGGCCCATTGAAGTCGCCGCCGACGATCCAATCGATGCCCGAGGCCGTGAGCTTCGTGAGGTAGCGAGTGAGCGCGCCGAAGATGCTTCGGTTCACGTCGTTCATGCCAACGCTGTCGACCAGGTAGGCCGACACGAAGACAATGCCGCCACGGACTCCCCAGTGCACGTGGGCGGCCACCAGTCGCCCTGGCCACAGTGTCGCCGAGGGCAGCAGCGGCGGGGCCGTGACGGGGATGTTCTTGCGGGCCAAGACCGCGACGCCGCCCGTAGTGCCCTCCGCGGAGGTGGGGCCTGCCACTGCTGGCGCCCAGATGCCCGCGAACCCGTGATCCAGCACCTCGTGCTGCAGGTCGGCGAGCTTCGCCTCGTCCCGTCGGTGATGCTCCTGGACGAGAACGACGTGCGACTCGAGGGTCTCTAGGCACGGCGCCAATGAACCCCAGGAAGTCACGTTGCTGGTAGTGATAGTGCCTTTCGCCATCGCAAGTGTGCAGGACATCGCGATGATGAGCTTAGTAAGGATTGAAGCCCCTGACGGCCAGCTCCGTGGCGCGCGCCAGCATGGCGTCGCTGGTCTCCTCTGCTGGCCCTGGCGAGAACTCCGCCATGGTCTGCCGCAGCTTCTCGGGCTCCATCGCGGCGGGATCCCAGCGCGGCGCTGCGGCTGCAGGGGCGGCGCCGCCTGCAGTGCCTGCGCCATGCGCGGCGGCGGCGGCGTCGTCTCCCTCGACGGACGCTGCAGGGGTGCGAGGGGCGCTCGCTGCCTCCGTGGCGGCGGCCCGCTCGCGCTGCCGCCGCAGCATGAGCTCCTGGAGGGGCCCGCCGAGCGCCGAGGCCAGCCGCTGCGGCAAATCGCCCGCGGTCTGCATGGTGTCGTCGGGGTGAGCGGCCAGAGCACCGCTGAGAGCCTGCGCCAGGTCGCCGAGGGTGAGGCCGCCCGTGTTCTTGATGACGTCGTGCTCCATGGACTGCCCAGGCGGACGATCCTCTGGCGCGACTGGGACCTGCTGCTGGAGTGCCGACTGCTCCGCCTGGAGGGCCACCTGCTGCGCCTTGAGCTCTCTGACACCATGCCGCTTGAGCTCCAGCTCGTCTTGCGCCTTCTTGACACGGTCCTCCGCCTCGCGCTCGGCCAGCTCCATCTTGCTGAGTTTGTCCGCCAGATTCTTCTGCCTGTGGGCCAGCGCCTGCACCCGCGCGTGGAGCGGCTTGGCGGCGAAGAGCCTGTCCTTGGCGGCGGCGAGCCTGCGCTTGAGATCCTCCCGCGGGCCCGTGGCCCAGTCGTGCTGCACGTCCTTGAGCGTGGCCAGGCCTGCCTCGCACACCTTGATCTCGCTCGCAGCCGAGGCGTCCTCGCCTGACTTGCCGTCGTCCACGTGCATGGCCGCGGCCCCGCCCTGGTCGGACTCCTGCGTACGAAGCTTCTTCCTGGCAGCGTCGAGCTCCGCCCGCATGGCCGCGAGCTCGCCCTCGAGCTTGCCCTCGGCCGTCCACGGGGCCCGCTTCTTGCCCTTGGCTGGGGCCCGCATCGAGGGCTCCTTCGGCGGCACAGGCCCGCCGTACACGTCCTTCTTGTGGAGCCTGCACCCTTGGCACTTGAGCGAGGTCCCGAAGTTGATGAGCGGCTTGCCGCGCTTCGTCGTACAGCTCCTGCAAGCCCAGTCCTGGCGTTCCTTTCGGCCGGCGCCAGCCATGGTGCTGCAGTCTGCACTTGGGATCGAGAAGGGGCTGTCGGGCTCAAGAGCCCTGGCACTGGCCGCGGACTAGCGGTATCCACTTGTTCCACTGTGGAACTAGGCATCTTGAGCCAAAATGGCTACGGAGAGGAGGAGGAGAAGGATGAGGAGGAGGAGGAGGAGGAGGAGGAGGAGGAGGAGGAGCGACCCCCCGACATCACCTGGGAGCTTCATGCGACTGAACAGTTCATGCGGGAGCACATCGTTTATCCCGCGGAAGAGCCTCGCCCCGCTCGCGGTTCTGATGCGCCAGGGTCGGAACGGGCAGACGAACCACATGCAGTTGTGGATGACGACGCTCCGGTTGATTTGTGGGATGTCCGCGACGACATCGGCGGCGACGGAGATCGCGCGTCCCCACCACTGTCCCGCTGTCCCCTCACCACTGTCCCGACCACCACCGTCCCCACCACTGTCCGCACCCAAGGTCCCGCTGTCCCCGCAACACTGTCCCCACCACCACCGTTCCCACCACTGTCCGCACCAAGGTCCCGCTGTCCCCGCACCACTGTCCCCACCACCACCGTTCCCACCACTGTCCCAGCATCCCCACCAGTGTCCAACTGTCCCGAGGAGCGGGAATCGTTTGCCGGCGGCGAGTGAGGGGGGGGTTCGAACCGGTAGTGACCCCCTCCCGGTTTTCGAGGGGGGGGGGTCGAACCCGTAGTGACCCGCTCCCCCCTTTTCATGATGGACGGGGGGGGGAGGGGTTCGAACCGGTAGTGACCCCCCCCGGTTTTCGAGGGGGGGGGGACGGGTTGGGAACCCCAAGTGACCCCCCCCCGGTTTTCCGCCAGCAGCGGTAGAACACGCTCTTTCGAACATTGTCTGGTAGGCCTATGGGTACGCCAGGACTCCGGACGCTTCGCCACTGCTTGAGTTTTGGGCCCGCGCCGATCGGCAAAACCATGAATCAAAAAACACTCACCAGGATTAGAGGCCTCCTAGATTGGGTCCGAGTAGACGGGGTCGGAGGATCGCGACGTATCATTGATGCATCGGCGATGCACCGCCGACGCACCGGCGATGCATCGGCGATGCACCGGCGAGGCACCGTCGATGTCGGCGACGCATCGGCGACGTGGGCGTGGAGAAAATCGGGCTCCGCATCGAGCCGCATCGTCGATGCATCGCCGACGCGGCGCGATCCTCGGACCTCGTCTACTCCGACCCCATCTGGGAGGCCTAGAATCTGCACGCCCGAAATGGGTACCGAAAGAATGGGTACAATGCCCAACAGCGGATCCTGTTCATTTTGAACAGGACTCGCTGTCCACGCCGCCGCGGCCTGTGCCCATTCGAGACAGAAGGCCCCCTGCCCAACAGAGGCCACTGTTGGTTTTGGAAACAACATTTGTTGTTGGGCATTGTACCCATTCTTTCCGTACCCATTTCGGGCGTCCAAATAGAAGGACGCGAGCACGGCTGGAGAACCCCTCCGCGCCTGCCCGGCGGCGTCGTCGAGGGCGGCCGCCAGGGCCCGGCGGGCCCTCCGGGCGTGCACCGCCGCCTGCCGCCGGGCGGCCTGCTGGTCCTGCGCGCGCCGCTCCGCCTCCCGCCGCCGCGCCTCCGAGGCCTCTGCGCGCCGGGGGCGGGGGCGCCCACGACGAGGGGCAGGCGCGGCGACTCGGAGGGGGAGGGGGAGGAGGAGGGGGAGGGTGGGGAGGGGGGCGTGGGGGAGGAGAGGGAGGGGGAGGAGGAGGGGGAGGAGGAGGAGGGGGAGGGTGGGGAGGAGAGGGAGGGGGAGGAGGAGGGGGAGGAGGAGGAGGAGGAGGAGGAGGAGGAGGAGGAGGAAGAAGAGGTACTCATCCCTACCGCTTCCCTCCCTCCCCACGCTTTTGTCCCCCGTCATGGGGGCTTTTCCCGGGCCTCTCCGTCGTCGCCGCCGCTGGGGAGTCGCCTCGAGAAATCCTGGCCAGAGCGCACCCCCGGGAGAGGTCTGGGGAGCAGCGGTATCGGTACCCTTTGTTGGAGGCTTCGAAATTGGTATCAACACCAAAACAGGGGGGCGCGCCCACCGGGGGAAGAGGATCATAGATTTCGGTGTTGGTGGCAATATTTCGGTCGCCTAGGAAGCCAGAGTATTACCACCATCACCGAGATCGGGATCATCTCTCCTCGGTTGAGGCACGCCGCCAATTTTGGTGTTGGTGTCAACCTCTGGGCCCCCGCGATGGCGCGGGTGGTGCGAGGCGGATGAGCGATGATACGATGTTCAGTGGAACAAATCATCCAATCCAAACATAATCTCTGGACCCCCCCCCCAGGAACAACCCACGCTGCTCGCTGACGACGGGACGGCCTACCCTGGACAACCCCTTGGACAACCCAACGGGCATCTGGACCCCCCCCCCCGGGACAACCCCCCTTGGAAAAGCCTCCCCAGGAGCTTTCTTCCGTTAGATATAGTAGGTGGTGCGGTAGGTGCGATGGTGCGGAGGTAGATGACCGACGATCCCAAACGGGTCTTCGCGAGATGACATAGCGACCTTACGGCGCGGCTTACGCGCGCCGAAAGCGCGGCACGCTACATTGGAAGCGAAGGCGCTTACGTGCGACCTCACGCGGTGAGCGTACGCGCGAATGTCGGCGCAGACGACCCCGTGTTTGCGTCGCTCAGCTGGCGGTAGTAGGTGGTGCAGTAGGTGCGATGGTGCGGTAGGTGCGGCGATGTCGTGATGGATGCCCGCGTGGCGATTTGGTGCGGTAGGCTCAGGTGGCGATGACGCGCCGGCGACACCAGCGAAGAAGTTCAAGGCCGCATCCAGCCGGACAGAACGAGGCGGAGGCACCAAGGGGCACGGTGACGCCGCAGGACCCGACGGAATTCAACCTTGCATGATCGGGGCCGCGATCGGTTCAAGGTTGAACGATCGACGCTATGTAAAAAATCTCTGCGTAAGCCGACGCCGCACGAACCTACCGTGAGCCTCTGCTACTGTCAGGGTGCTTTGCTGGCGCGCAGCCAAGACACTGAAATGCGGGCCGATTTGGGACTCAGAAGAGGCTCAATGTTCCTTTGGTTATTCCACGGTTGCTCCTCGAGCCATCCTGGTGCACCCCGGCTCTGCTGCCAGAGAAAGGGCTTCGCTCCTGGTTTAGCGTTCCATACAGTCGAGGCCAGTTCACAAGAAACCCTCCACAAGAAACCCAACCCTGAGACACCAGGACGTCCATGGATTCTTGGCGTGGGAGCGTCACGCTTTCGGTTTGGCATGGGCCTCCACTGTACGTGTGGTCGACTGTCTGGCTGCGTGCAGGAGGGGGAGGAGGAGAAAGAGGAGGAGGAGGAGGGGGATGGGGAGGAGGAGGAAGAAAAACTGAGGAGGAGGCGGAGGAGGAGGAGGAGGAGGAGGAGGGGGTGTTTCTTGGCATAGGCCCCCACTGTATTTCAGCAGCCCCGCTGCACCCTCTTCCAACCCGCGGCCCCAAGGAGGTCCCGACCCCTTTCCTCCTGGGCTACTGCCTGACGGCCCGCGGCGGCAGGTGACGGGCCCTGGAGGCCGACGCGGAGGAAGGACGCTGTGAAGGAGGAGGGGGAGGGGGAGGGGGAGGAGGGGGAGGGGGAGGGGGAGGAGGAGGAGGAGGAGGAGGAGGAGGAGGAGGAGGAGGAGAGGAGGAGGAGGAGGAGGAGGAGGAGGAGGAGGAGGAGGAGGAGGGAGGAGGGGGGGTGTTTCTTTGCATGGGCCAACCACTGTATTTCAGCAGCCCCGCTGCACCCTCTTCCAACCCGCGGCCCCAAGGAGGTCCCGACCCCTTTCCTCCTGGGATACTGCCTGACGGCCCCTGGCGGCAGGTGACGGGCCCTGGAGGCCGAAGCGAAGGAAGGACGCTAGGGAGGAGGAGGAGGAGGAGGAGGAGGAGGAGGAGGAGGAGGAGAGGAGGAGGGAGGAAAGATGGGGAGGTGGAGGGGAGGGGCAGGAGAAGGAGGAGGAGGAGGAGGAGGACGAGGAGGAGGAGGAGGAGAGGAGCAGGAGGAAGCAGGAGGAAGGAGGAGGAGAGAGGAGGAGAAGAGGAGGAGAAGGAGGAGAAGGGGAGGAGCAGCAGCAGGAGGAGGAGGAGAGAGAGGGAGGGGGAGGGGAGGGGGTGGGGGGAGGAGGAGGAGGAAGGAGGAGGAGGAGGAGGAGGAGGAGGAGGAGGAGGAGGAGGAAGAGAAGGAGAAGGAGGAGAAGGAGGAGAAGGAGAAGGAAAGGAGAAGGACGAGGAGGAGGAGGAGGAGGAGGAGGAGGAGAGGAGGAGGAGGAGGAGGAGGAGGAGGGGGAGGGGGAGAGGGGGGGGAGGAGGAGGAGGAGGAGGAGGAGGAGGAGGAGGAGGAGGGAGGAGGGAGGAGGAGGAGGAGGAGGAGGAGGAGGAGGAGGAGGAGGAGGAGGAGGAGGACGCTGGGAAGGAGGAGGAGGAGGAGGAGGAGGAGGATCTATGGGAACCAGGGCCCGCCCACCTCCACCTGGGTGGGCCTGCACGAGAGCTCCTGTGGACCCCCGCGGCCGTGTTACAGACGTGACGTCGACGGGCTGTCGTTTACGTTTCGATTACCCTTCTCTACTTTGTAGGGGATCGAACTCTATATCGGGGCCTAAGAGACGGGGGTCAGTGCAAACGGGGGTCAGCCAGAGCGACAGATCCTGCAGGATCCTGCGAAGGCCCCCTCTGGCTGACCCGGGTAAGCGAGCCGCTCGTGGCCGCGAGGCGGCCGCTCGTATTGGCTGACCCGGGTTTGCGAAGACCTGCGTTGCAAGTTTGTTTCCCTGCATTGCAATGTTTGGTTTCCTGCTGACCCGGGTCTGGATTGACCCGGGTCAGAAGATCCCCGACTCTATACACCGACGCTTGTTCCGGCCCTGCATTGTAAGTAATTTGCACTGGAGAGCGGATCCTGGTGTATATGGGACCCTGGTGTATACATGTTTCATTGTTTCCCCGGGACATCGGGGAAAAAATATACACCACAACACCCCAGCGTCGTCCTCGACCCTCAAAAAGTCCTGGGATTGAGAAACAGCCAGCCACTGGTAATGTGTGTGCTCCAGTTCCCGACTTCGTTGTCCAGACGTTGTGCAGATGTCGCGCAGAGTTCGTCCAGACGTCGAACCAATACGGCGAACTCTGGACGAGATCTGGACCAATACGGCGAGATCTGAACAATGCAGGGAATCTGTGGATCCCCTGAGGCTACCACGACGACCCCCGACTGGGGGAGTTTTCGGCGAGAAAACAAAAATGTAGGGACCAACTCGGGGATGTAGATGCGGCCCAATAACACCCCCGAAGGTGGATTGCCGACTTCCCCTCTTTTCTGAGGGCCGAATTTCGGGGGTTGACAGAAGCCCCACACTGACACGTCGATTAGTGAATTGTCCGTTTTCGGTTCTCGAGAGGGCGCCGCGGCCGTCATTTTCCAGGCTTGCGCCCGCCAGGTTTGGGCCCGAGGTCGTTTTCACTAAACCACATTTTCCTAAAGGGGGTCCTGTCCATCCTCGATAACTTTTGAGGCAGAAATCAGGATACGGGTCGAACAGTCGCCTGCGAGTCAAGGCGGGGGCCAGCTCGGGGGGGGGGAGGGGCCAACACTGAGCCCGAGTTCTGCGTGACAGCACCGCCGTTACGACAGACCGTCGTTACGACGGGCCTGCTGCTCTTTCTTGGTCGAGCTGCTGCCAGAAGAAAGGAGCAAGTGTCTGGCTGAAGAGCGTGGCCAGCTCCGGGGGAATGCAAAAGGGGGGGGGCGGGCCGTCTCGGGAGCTCGGCAGGCCTGGGAGGTTGCTGGGCCTTCTCTGGAGACGAAGGCGGCTCCTCAGAGGGCGCCAGGGCATCCGAGAAACCCCTGGGAATGTAGAGGGGGCGTGCCTTTTCGGGAGCTCGACAGGCCTTGGAGGTTGTTGGCAACCTTCTCCGCAGACGGAGGCGGCTTCTCCGAGGGCGCGAGGGCTTCTGAGAAGCCCCGCCGCCATTCTGGGAAGCTGGGCCCCGCCGCCGAGGCACACTCGGACCTAGGCTCGAAGAACATGCCTCAAGAACATGCGACCCTCCGACGGCCAAAATCCACAGAACATTCAAGGCTACCCTCCCCAAGATGCACAAGAGCATCCAATAAACACGAAGAACACTAGGGATCCCTCCCCGAACCGACCTCGATCTTATACCTCGATCCGGCTGTGAGGCGGGGGGGCAGCTCGGGAGGGGAAGCCTCGACCTTTCGTCGACGACACATCGCCGACAGATCGGACCAGCTCGGGGGGGAACCCCACTTTTGGGGTTCCAGGCTCGAGGTGCTCAGGCGTCTTCCTTGGCGCTCGACGGCCTCCTGGCCTCGGGATGCACTCCAGCGGCTGCGCCTCGCCGAGGGCGTGCCGGAAGTTCCTGGATCGTCCCGAACGGCCTGCGTAGGCTCCGGGGGAGAAGCATCGAGCTTCGATCGGCGAGGCGTCGTGGACCGATCGGCGAGGGGCCCCCCAAAAGCGAGTCCGCACGCTGCTCGGCGGGACGATCGGGGGTCGCCTGCCTCCCATGGGCCCCTCCCCCCCGAGCGCTGCCCCGGAGCCTTGAACTGCACCACGTCCGCCCGCATGGCCGCGTCGAAGGTCGACAGGTTGGCCTTGGCGGCCGCGCCGGCGCGCAGCTCCCGCGAGGCGACCTTGACGCTGTGCGCGACGAGAGCCTCCTTCTTCGCACGGTCCTTGCACGCCGCCAGAGCATGTCAAGGTCCAACCCCGCGGGGTCGTGCCCCTTGGGCTCGGCGAGCGGGAGATACGGAGATCTGCGCGTCCACGCGGGCGGGCGGATACCCATACGGGCCAGATCCGAAAACCCTGAACTAAAACATGTGGTCTTAAATCAGACATGTCCTCCTACAGGCGGACTCGCGAAGAAAAAAGTAAAAATAGTCAACCACAAACCAAAAATGGGCAAAAGAGTACGAAAAAATCGTCACCATATTATTTCTGACTACTTCTGAATACTCCTCCTGCAGAGGGACATGCCCGACTCAAATCTTGTCACCTCTTGAGAAAGCAATGTATACTTCCGCCGCCTTCTGCAGGCCGCCCGCCAGCTTCCGCCTGCGGAGGTGGCATCGCTTCGACTTCGCCACCTTTCCGCCGCCTTCCGCTAAGGAATCGATGGCCAACCCTCCTATCCTCCACGGAGAGGCCCTTTCCAGAACGCCTCACATGCGGCGCGCCCAGGGGGGGGGTGAGAAGGGGCAGGCCTTCTTGGACGGCGGCGGGCCCTCCAGCCTTCCGAGAAGCCGCATCTGTCTTCGGAGAAGGCCCAGAAGACCTCTCGGAAGGGCCGAAGCATTCCGAGCCTTCTGAGGAGGCCTGCCCCCTTCGCATTCCTCCCTTAGGCTCGCCGCCGACCTTGTCGCGGACAAGATTTGTCGCCATATCCACTGCATCTTGGAGTTCCGGGCTCCCTTCCACAGAAACCCGAGGAGGCGCAGTGGATCGGGGTAGAAATCTGGCCCCGAGAGGCTAAAGCTCTATCTATAGTCACTGCGCCTGGGCCCTTTGGCGCCATTTCCCAGAGCGTCCAAGACGCCAAAGACATGAATGTACAGTGAGAACGTGTACTGAGGACCCGTGGTAAGGACGCAAGACCCTCGTAGGGCCACAGTTGGGATTTCTTGGGCGGCGAGCGACAAGTGAAAACGGCAAAAGACGGCCCGCAGCGGCAGGGACACACGGGCACCCTAGAGGAAGGCGCGCGTCCTTTCGACGCGCGTTGACTGCGCATCGTACCCGCAACTATCCACCACTCTCGGCGGCGAGCGAAGGGGGGGAACTGAGCAGAAGGTCTTCCAAGGCTCGGAAGTCCATCGGCCTTCTGAGAGGTCTTCTAAGCCTTCCCCGACGACACCAAAAAAACCTATGAGCAGGCGCGAGGGCCTCCGAGGTTCTTCTCGCTTGCCCCCCTCGCTCGCAACCGACACTCCGCAGAGTCCCGGTGCGGTGGCCCTGGGCATGCTCTGGCGGGCGGGCCTTGTGCGCGAGGGACCGCAGGAGGCTCACAGCGCGGTCGCACACGGCCACGGCGCCCGCGTACTCGTCCCGCGTGGCGGCGTAGTCCGCCTCAGGCGACCGACATGTGATCCATTCGGTGGTTCACAGATGGAGTCCTGAGGGATGGGGCCCCAGGGATGGGAGGGGGCCCCAGGGATGGATTTACAATGTTTGGGGCACCTCGCTCTCAGGACCCCATCCTTCAGGACCCCATCCTTGTGAACCACCGATCCCTGCCCCCGCCAGGCGGCGACGCCTGAGCCCTACCCCCACCAACCATGCAGTTCACTGGATCGACGTGAGGCGGGGGTAGGGCTCGGATTTCGCCGCGGGCTCGACGCATTCAGAACCCTAATTGACCCCCGCCGCCCATCGAGTTGCCCCAAGCGTTCCTCGGCGAGGGTGGGGTTCGGACGTCGCCGCCGGCCTGCTCACGCCCCAACAGCGCCAGGCAGGGTCAGACAGTACCGAATCGACAGATCGGATCGACTCGAAATGAGCATCGAAGCGGGCCGCATTGGCACGTGGGCGAAATCGAAGGGAACGGCCGCGCCAGGATGCACACAAGCCGCATGCGAACATCGGGCCGCATCTGATCGCAGAGTCTCGGAATCGAAGCGAATCAGCTCGGGCCTGCCAGCATCGACATCATCGAATGAGATCGGGGATCGGAATGGGCCCTGACCACGGTGCTGGAGTGGGGGAGTGGGTAAAAATCGTGCCCAAAGAAAATTGCTGTTCATCCGCGCCCTCTTCCTCCTCTTGCCATCGCTCGGCCTTCCATTCCCCGTGCGTGTTCCTTGGTTTCGCTCATGCTTTCTTCGCCAGACGATTTATCATGCTCCTGGAGGCTCCTCGTCGGGGGAAGAATGCACGCGTCCGAGCGATGCTAAGGAGTGGAGGGGGAGGCAGAGAAGGAGGAGGATGAGGAGGAGGACGAGGGAGGGGAGGAGGAGGAGGAGGAGGAGGAGGAGGAGGAGGAGGAGGATAGCAGGAGGAGGAGGAGGAGGAGGAGGAGGATAGGAGGAGGGACAGGATAGAAGGAGGAGGATTCCGAGCGATGCCGAGGAGTGGAGGGGAGGCCGCAGCAGGGGCACGGAGCGAACGTCCGCGGGGCCGCCGCCTGCTCGCTGCGGCGGATCTCCCCGACGGCCGCCTCGTCCTTGCCCCAGCGGGCGACGTCCGCCTGCAACTCGGCCACCCGCGCGCCCATCGTCTCGATGTCGGCGGCCGCCTGGTTTGCGCTTAGGTCGGGCATGTCGACCCCTTCCAGGCGGATGTTATGCGGAAAATGAAAAATTCGCCGGCCCGACGGGCCAGAGGCGTGCTAAGATCCCCGGCAACTGGTCAACAATATTTCTAGTTTGCGGGCGCGGAGCGGCCCCTGGGGGCCCCCGGACGAAAAGTACCCCGGTCAGGTCCTGGTCAGGTCCCCAGAGCGCTCCAAGGGAGGGCCATTGTCGACACCCCTCGCGAGGATCGTGGCCTCCGAGGGGGGAGCCGCAATCGACGACCCCCCCTCCCGCCCCCAAGAGCCCCCCAAGAGGCCCTGGGGGCCCCCAAGACGCCGCCAAGGAGCCCCAAGAGACTCCCAAGAGGCCCCCAAGAGGCCCTAATGAGGGCTCCAGGGCCGGCGGAATGAGCGAAGCGATTAATAATCAAAAATACCCCCAAAATAATCAAACAATAATGGGGAATTCGTCCATATATTATGTTTCGACTAGTTTTCAACATTCCTTCTGTAGAGAGACAGGCCCGACTTAAGTTCATGATGCATAAGACAGGACTGGACCAAAACAAGAGTGCGTTTGCCTTTTTCGTTTCGTGTCCACCTTCCCTGGCGTTGTCGTCGTGCACGCCTTCGCTGCAGGACGAGGTCAAAACGACAACGGACCACGAGATCGCTAGAACACCGTCTGGGTCGAGCCCTGGCAGAAGAGCACCACCCTCCGACCAGCGAAGGCCCTCAGCGAACGCGCCCACGGAAGGCATCACACGGGGCAAAGCTGCTCGGCAAGCGCCCCGACTTGTGGAATGGACGCCAAGTTGGGGAGTCGGGATGGCTGTTCCTCCTGCTATTCTTTCCGTAGAGAGAGACACAACTCGGCATAGGCTTAGGTCGGACACGTCCCCCTACAGGCGGATGATGGAGGAAAGCTTTGCAAAATGTCCAAAAACTGACGAGGGGGCATGGGAAAATCGTCCCCAGGCTATTTTGTGTACTATCTTGAATATTCCTCCTCTAGAAGGACTGGCCCGACTTAAACATAGGCATGAACAGAACCTTTTCGGAGGCCCGCGCGGATCTCTTGGATTGGCGCTGGACCCCCACATGCCCTGCGTGCGGTCAAAACAGATCCAAGAGCACCGCGCGGGCCTGGGAACGCGCAAATTGATGTCGTGCCTCCGTCTTCGGAGTACCGTGGGGAGCCCGACCACAAGAAACCTCCCACGAGAAACGCAACCCTGAGACCCCAGGGCGTCCATTGATTTTTGGTGTGGGAGCGCCACGCTTTCCATATAGCAAAACCATCGAAACCCAAGAAACCCAGGGCACACTGGAGGCAAGCAGGGTGCTTCTTAGTATGGGCTTCCACTGCATGTCAGGAGACAACTCATTGGAGGTCTTCGTAAGAACGAGCCAGGGCCAATGAATCCGATTCGGCGCCGACTGAAGCCGTTCGTGTGGGCCTCTAAAGGTTGTGGCTGTGCCGTGTTGCTGCTTCTGGCCTTGGCGATGTCGGCGTCCAGCTTCTCGACGCGCATGGTTGCGCGGTGGATGGCACCCGACTTCGCAGCGTCCGTACCGTTGCAAAACTGCTTGAACGCACTGTACCGGACAGCCTCGGTCTCCTGACAGGGCCAAACAAAAAGCTCCCACCAGCATTCCGAAGGCGAATCCAGACGTGACGACCAGGGCTCCTGGAGGGGCCCAGAGAAGTTCCGTCGAGGCGTGGAACTTCTCCACCTCCCCCCACCGCCCTCCCACGTCCTCCTCCTCCTCTTCCTCCTCTTCCTCATTCTCCTCATTCTCCTCCTCCTCCTTCTCCTCTCCGACGTCCGCCCTCCTCCTCCTCCTCCTCCTCCTCCTCCTCCTCCTCCTCCTCCTCCTCATCATCATCATCATCACCAGCATCAATTTGTTTTGCGGCTGGCATGCTCGGCGTCCACAGAGGGAACACAACAAAAATATCCTTATCATCCTTCCTGTTGGAGGGGGTGGAGGTAGCGGAAACACTGGCCGTGCTGGAGGCCTCCCACATGGAATCCGAACAAATGGGGTCGGAGTACCGCGCCGCGCCGTCGATTTTCACCGCCGATGGACCGCCGATGCATCGGCGACGGCGGGATGGAGAAAATCGGGCTACGCATCAAGCTGCATTGATGACGCGGCGCAATCCTGCGACCCCCCTCCACTCGGACCCCACCTGGAAGGCCTGGACGCACTCACTCGTTGGTGGAGTACACAAAACTGCATACTCCTGACGAGCAAGTACAAAGGGACACAAAACAAAGGGGCACAAAACAAAGCATACTCCAAACTGCAGGACACAAAACAAAGGGAGGGGGTCACAACCCTCCCAGACGAGCAATGTCAAACCCTCCCCGAAACCAGCCACGAAGCGGCCTTCTGCCCAGACCCCCATCGAACCCTCCAAGACAGCTCAAGTCAGACCCCCCAAATTGAACCCCCCACACTTTATCTGGAATCCAAAATACTCCAGATGTCGTAATAAAGAGAGGGGGTCTCATTTCGGGGGGGGGGTCTCTTCCAGGCTATCTTGGAGGGCCTCTGGGGGGTCTGGGGACGATGTTTTGGAGGGTTCTCCCACGGGGGAGGTCTGAAATGGCTTGTCTTGGAGGGTCCAGACCCCCTCCCTTTCATTACGAAATCTGGAGTAACCATACTGTCCCTGATGTCCGCGCAGATTTCTGCAGTGGCACTGGACACGCCCCCCTGGCGCGCGGAGCACGCCAGGGGCGGCGCCCGAGGCACCGCCAGGGGGCCAAACGCCGATCCAGGAGATGTGCGCAGACCACCGAGAAGTCATGTTTGTGCCGTTTCCCGATTCTTCGAGCTGGGGCCCCTCTCTTGGAGAGCAGAGACTCCACGCCCGCAAGAAAACATCCCGACCAGCGAAGCCGTCTGGCAGACGCACCCGAGGAAGGCATCGAGCAGGGCAGGGCTGTTTGGTAAACGCCCAGGGCCGTTGAGGAAACGCCAATTGTTTGGGTCGGGGTCGTTTTCCTCCCTAGATACGGGCCTCCTAGAAGGGGGCCGGAGTAGATGGGGTCGGAGGATCGCGCCACATCGCCGATACGTCGGCGATGCATCGGCTATACATCGGCGATGTATCGCCGACGTCGCCGGCGATGCACCGGCGACGTCGTTGATGCATCGGCGACGTCGACGTGGAGTAGATCGGGCTCCGCATCGAGCCGCAACGGCGACGCATCGGCGATACGGCGCGATCCTCCGAGCGCTTCTACTCCGACCCCATCTAAGGGGCCTATAGACTAAAATCCAAATCGGAATTCGAAGCCGAATCTAGTCGGAATCGGAAGTCACCGAAATCGAATCGAAAATCGAATCGAATCAGAGGAATCGAAACGAGCCCTGCTTTCCTCACTAGAATTCGGTCGGGCATGTCCCCCATACAGGGGGAATTGGGACAAACATGAAAAATAATTGAAAAATGCACCAAAATGGCCCCCAAACTACTCAAAACATAGTCCCCATACTCCTTTTTGACTGGTGTTGAAAATTCCTCCTGTAGAGGGACACGCCCGACTTAATCCTAGAACTCTGGACAAGAGCAGCTCTCCCCGTCCCCAGGAGGGGGAAGCCGTCGACCCGCTGGACATACGACACCCCCCCTAGGTGGGGACAGAGGTGCCATCTCCCGTGGACCTCGCGGCGCCCATCCCGACCTTGTGGGGGGGGTAATCATGCTGGGAGGTCGGAAGAAGTACATAGGCAGAAGCATGATTTAGGAAGGCGTTGAAAGTAGACTGGGCGTCCACCCACCCCCCAGGAGAGGACGGAAGAGGTGAAGCCGCTCGACCACTGAAGCAGGAAGGCGCTTTGAAAGCACAGTGGAATCGAAGATCCAAACATAGGCCTGTCCCCCTACAGGCCGATTTTGGACGAAGAATAACAATACAAAAAAATGCCCAAAACATGCTCAAAAATACCCCCCAAAAAAGTCCCCATACTATGTTTTGACTATGTTTGAACATTCCCCCTGTAGAGGGACATGCCCCGGCGACGCACGCGCGCACGCCAGGGGGGCCAGCGCCGCCACCCGACGTGCGCGCGGAATTTCGAGAAGACCAGGGCCGTGCAGTGCTCGTGCTCTTCGAGCTGGGGCTCCACGCGTCCTGGGAGGCCTTCGTACTCCTGCTCCTCCTCCTCCTCCCCCTTCTCCTCCTCTTCCTCCTCCTCCTCCTCCTCTTCCTCCTCCTCTTCCTCCTCCTCCTCCTCGTCCTCCTCCTCTTCCTGCTCCTCCCTCCTCCTCCTCCTCCTCCTCCTCCTCCTCCTCCTCCTCCTCCTCCTCCCTCCTCCTCCTCCTTCCTCCTTCCTCCTCCTCCTCTCCTCCCTCCCTCCTCCCTCCCTCCCTCCCTCCCTCCTCCTCCTCCTCCTCCTCCTCCTCTCCTCCTCCTCCCTCCTTCCTCCTCCTCCTCCTCCTCCTCCTCCTCCTCCTCCTCCTCCTCCTCAGGCGGCCAAAGACGTCCGCGTGGACCTCCGAAAGTTTCGACCGCTTCTGCTCTTCAATCTACGGCTTTGCGGGCGGCTGGGGGGTCTGAACTGACTGCGACCCTAAAAAGAATCGGTCAGGAGGGGGGGATGAATCCAAATCCGTTCAAAATCGGTCCCCCACCCCCTCCCGGGGTCGATCTGGTGCAATGGTTCACCCACCATCCGTTCTGGACGGTCCGAGGGCCCGAAAAAGGCTCCCAGAGACCGAAAAGCGCAACAACAAAAAGCTTCTCGGAGCCAGGACCTCGAACCTCGCCCCCGCCCCCCCCCCCTCTCCTGCTGGCAGGAACCAGTGCTGGACCATCTCAGAACCCCAGACGGCTCCGACTACACTGCAAATTGAGGTCTCGCTGGGCAACGGAGTTAGCCAAACGAAGCACTCCACCAACCAAGAGCGGGCCATGCACCACCACAAGTTCAGACAAAAGCCAGGACGAAGACAAAGTCGGGTGATAATAGTTCGAGAATCTCGGAGATCTGGCGGAACTCGAGGATGTATCGGGCGCCGCGGCGTTCTCATAGCGTTCCGGAACGCTCTGGAACGGGTCCATCCTCGTCCTCGTCCCCTCCGACCCAGAATCAGGTCGGGCACGTCCCCCTACAAGCGGATTCTGGAAGGAACAAAATAATCAACACATGTTCAAAAATAGTGAAAAGTTGTCGAAAAATCGTCCCCTAACTTTTTTTGTCGTGAACACTTCTCCTGTAGAGGGGCAGGCCCGACTAAGAGTCAAGCAGGAACCCGAGCTCCACGCGTCCTGGTCCTCGGCGCACTTCTGCTGCATTTCCTGACAGGGGGCACCCCGCCATCGCTCGGACGTCCACTCCATATGCCGTTCGTCGCCTTCGCGCCTGCATGTTTCGCAAGGTGAACGAAGATGCTCCTCGACGAATGGGACACAAAGGCAAACAAATATATAGACACGTGAATGACGATGGACTGTGTCGGAATGTGTTTAACCCTCCTGATCGATGGCCCTCGCCGAGGAACAAAAACGCACACGTCCGAGCGGTGCCAAGGCGCCGGGAACCGCGCCGCCCGCGCGGGGGAGGGGCGGGGGCGAGGGAGGAGAGGCGAGGAGCCCCGAAAGAAGGGAGGGGGCACCAGCCACGCGCAGGCCCCTCTCGGGAGAAGGGGGCTTACCCGGGTGCACCTCGATCGGGCGGGTGGCCTGATGGGGGGTGACCTGCTGGGGAGTGCAGAGGAGGGCCCTGTCTGGGATGGACAGAGGCCCCTTTTGTCAAACGAATTAGAAGGATGGGGTCAGACGAAGCCAGGGCCAGTGCTGGACCACCTCCTACAGACGGCTCCGACTACAGGTTGAGGTCTCGCTGAGGAACGGAGGCAGCCAGACAAGGCAATCATCATCCAAGAGCGGCCATATACCAACACAAATTCAGACAGAACCCAGGACAAAGACAAAATCGGGTGAGGCTATAAGTCAAGAACCTCTGAAGTCCGGCGGCTCTGTAAGATGCCTCGCGCGCGGCGGCCCTCTCGGAGCGTCCCGACACGCCGTGGGTGCACCGCGGCCAGGCCCGCCCTCTGGGGCTCTGGGGCCCGTGTCGAGAGAGGGAGTGCACATCTGGAGGCAACTGCTCGGAAGTCTTCGCCCGAAGGAACCAGGAGGATGAAGCCCCGTGGGGGGGGGGGGGCGCTGCGCCGAGCGCCACCGCAGACGAAGCGGGGCCAAGCCAGAGGGACCAGCGAGAGCACGCTGGACGAAGCGGGAGTAGGCCGGATTGGGCCAGATGTCGGACCAGGGCAGCATCGAAACTTGACCTCCCAGGGGGTTCCTGGATGGCTTTGGAGGGTTCCAGGATCCCCCTCGGAGGTTCCTGGAGGCTTCGGGGGTTCCCTGGGGGGGTCCTGGAGACTCGAGGGTGTCCCCGGGGGGGCGTCTGGGGGATTCGAGGTTCGAGGGCCCCCCCCCAGGACTGGAGGGGCTCAGGGACCTCCCAGGGGTTCCTGGAGCGCGGGAGAGTCCCAAGGTCCCCTCGGTTGGTGTTCCTGGAGGGTTCGGGGGGTCTCCAGGGTCCCCCCTGCAGCCGCACCAGGTGGATGGGGAGGAACCACGACGTGGACAGAAACTGGGTTGCGAACGGTGCTGACTACGCGAGGATGAGGGGCTGCTTCCATGCGAGTCTCTCGCGGTTCTCGCACCATCACGCCCAACGGGCTCCTTCTTGACATCCTTTTGGAAGACAGACGCACAACAACTCTTTTGCTGCCGCACATTGCGAGCACGGATAACCAACAGTATGCGGATCGCGCTTTCAAATGCAGGATGGAGAGGAACTGCCTGGCTGAACAGCCTCGCCTGCTTCGGATCGGAGGTCTCCACTTTGACCCAGAATGGCGACGGACGAGGCAAGATAAGGTAAGCTAAGGCGCTTGCGGAGGGTCCGCGGCGGCAGCAGCAACACTGCCGCTGAAGACCTTGTAGCGTCCCTGCGGTGAATTCTGCTGGGCCGCTGCACTGGTGGTCGGGGAGGAGGAGGAGGAGGAGGAGGAGGAGGAGGAGGAGGAGGCCCGCATGCGTCTGGGTCGCCCGACCTCGCGCCCCACGCCGAACAGTACTTAGCTGACCCCTGCGAACGCTCACCGCGCGGCCAGTCGTGCAAGGAGGGGAGCCTCCCCCGCCAGGAGACCGAGGCCCAGAGGCATCCTCGCATCACGTCTCCGGTCGTGCTCTCCGTCCCTCCTCCTCCTCCTCCTCCTCCTCCTCCTCCTCCTCCTCCTCCTCCTCCTCCTCCTCCTCCTCCTCCTCCTCCTCCTCCTCCTCCTCCTCCTCCTCCTCCTCCTCCTCCTCCTCTTGCTCCTCCTCCTGCTCCTCCTCCTCCTCCTACTCCGCCGCCTCCCCCTCCTCCTCCTCGCCCTCTCCATGGCGCAACCGAGGAGGTGGCACGGGTGCATCCTCACCCCACGCTCCCGAGCGTGTTCTCTGTCCTGCTCGTCTCCGCCTCTGCCTCCTCCTGCTCCGGGCTTCGATCTGCACACAATTCGGCTGCTGCTGCTGCTGCACGTCGACGCTTTCCTGGATCGACGTTGCGCCAACTTGAATCCTCGGATTGTAGCGTTCTTGCAGAACAGAGACAAACCGCACGAAATACCCAACCGTCTGCAGCTGCGAGTACCGCGAGTGAGATGAGACGAAGGCGGGGGCGCGCAAACTCCGAGTAACGCACGCGGTATAGCTTTCTGCCAAGAAACGTGTGAAGGGTGTGCCGACATGAGTCGGGAGGACGCATGCGAACTTCGCTATTAGGGCCGTCCGTGGAGCTTCCGATGGGGTCACGAGACGCGTGAGGGGTGTGCGGAAATGGGGCGGCGGTGCCATGCGAAATGTCCCACAGGTGCCTTAGGTGGAGCTCCCTATAGGGCCACAAAACCTGTGAGGGCGTGCCGAAATATGGCCGTGGTGCCATGCGAACTTTCCCAATATAGGGCCTTCCGTGGACTTCCCCATGGGGCCACGGAGCGTGTGAGGGGTGTCCCGAAATGGAGGGGCAGTGCAATGCGAGCTTTCCCACCAGGGCCTCAGTTGGAGCTCCCTGTGAGGGGCGTGCCGAAATGTTGCGGCGGTGCCATGCGAACTTCTCACTGGGGCCTTCGGCGGAGCTAGCTGTGGGGCCACGAAACGTGTGAGGGTGTGCCGACATAGGGCGGCGATGTCACGCGAACTGTCCCACTGGGGCCTTAGGGTGAGATTCCTAAAGGCGACGAAGCATGTGAGGGGTGTGCCGACATGGGATGGGCATGCGGAGAGCAGAGGCAGGGAGGGGAGTAGGGAGAAGGGGAAGGAGGAGAGAAGGAAGGAAGGAACGCGGGCACTCTCTTCTCAAAACGAGGATCCAACACCACAAGATGGTTGGGGGAAAAAGCCTGTGACGAATCGACTTCGAATAGGTTGCAACGAATTAGCGGGGCCAGCGTGACAGTCAAGGCATGCAAATGCGACAGGCAAAGCAAGAGGCCCACGGGCTTGGAGTATGCGCTGGCAGCGCGACGATGGAGGCAGAGAGGGGGACCGAAACGAAGTACCTACCAAGTAAGCGAAGAGCGATTGCGTTTGCTGGCGGCGGAGCCCCAATACAGCCTCCGAATGCCCAACTCATAAGAAAAGACAGCCGCCTCGGCTTCCTCTCCGGGAGCGCAGGAGGCGTGGGGTGGGAGGAGGAAGGACCAGCCGGGCGACGCAGAGCAGTGAGGAGGCGGTGAGGACGGTGGACCGAGCCCTCGCCTTGCCCCACCGCCCTCCTCACGCGCGGCAGCGGCGACACAAATCTTAGGGTCCCGTCCCCCAGACCTTAAAGGGAAGAAAACACATGCATACAGACACATGCTCTGAGCTCCCACAGTTCTGGTGTACGCTGCTTCTCCTCCTCGAGGGGCACCCTCGTGCTGCACGGCGGAGGGGAAGAACGGAGCAGGGGGGAGGCGCAAGAGGCGTGGCCCTTAGTGGGCCCCGGAAACGGCAGGGCCGTTTTTTCACCGTCTCCGAGAAAGTGCCCCTTGAAAATGGAAACGGCGAGAAAACGGCGACCCGAAACGGCAACAACAAAAGCGGCTCCAGGATTGAAGCCGGAGCCGGAACCGGTCCAAAAACGGCGACGGAACCGGTAAAAAGACGGCGTCGGAACCGGCAGCAAAAACGGCAGAACGGAACCGGTAAAAAACAGCGGCCCTGTCGTTTCCAGGGCCCACTGAGGCGCGGCCGCCAGCGCGCCGACCTGTCCTTCATCAGCTGGAGGGCCTTCTGCACGGGCGTCACCGCCTTGCGCGCGCGCGGCGTCCCTCCCTCCTTGGCGCCTCCCCGCCTCGAGGGGCGCATCCGCCGACCCTTCGGCGGGTGCGAGGCGCCGTCGTCGTCGTCGTCGTCGTCGTCGCCGTCGTCGCCCGTCCCACGGGAACAAGGAACGAGCAGAGAAACGAAACGTCGCAGCTCCCCTCCCTGACGGACGTCGTAGTTCCCCTCCCTGACGAAACGTCGTGGTTCCCAAGGGAACAAGAAACGACAGAGAAGTCGATTCCCCCCCCCTTTTTCCCCCCCCTGACGGGGAGGGCGGGGTGCGGGAGGGGGTAGGCTCGGGGGCGTCCACGATGGGGGGCGTCCAAGAGGGGGGGCGCAAATCACGGCTGGCGGCATGAGCGCGGCCCAGAGGGGGAGCTGGGAACGTACTGTTGAAATCCGCCGACCCTGTCGGCGTGTGGGAGAGGCCTTTCCGTCTTCCCCAAAGCGTCGTCGCCTCTTCTGCTTTCCGAGGGCTCCCCACACAAGTCCACACGGTAATCGAACAACGTCGTCGGTCAGTCGAAGGGAAGCCCCTTCCCTTGATCCCTTCCCCGCCGGGCGGGGGGTCCCGGGGCAACTCCCGGGGGGGTCCCTCCTTGGATACGCAGCCCTCCGCCTCGCATCCTCCTGCGTCCTGGGGCTCCCGCCCGGGAGCGCGGGGGGTCCCGGGGCAACTCGAGGGGGCTGTTCCCCCCTCGGATACGCAGCCCCCCGCCTCTCATCCTCCTGCGTCCTGGGGCTCCGCTGGCCCTCCGGGGCCGTCTGCGGGCCCTTTCCGCCTATCTGAAGGCTCCTTGGAGACCTTTCGCCATTTCTAGACTCTCTTGGCAGCCTCTGGCGGCACTCTTGGCAGCCTCTGCGGGCGCTTTTGGACCTCGCTTGACGCCGTCTTGGAACCCTCTCGGGCCACTTGAGGGCGGTCTTTGCCTATCGTGGCACTCTCTGGAGCCGTTCCCGAACCCTGGAGGAGGCCTCTTGAGCTGTCTTCGGACGACCTTGCAGGCACCTGGCGCCGACTTCGAGCCATCTGAGGGCATCTTGGACTCCTCTACCTCCATTGTCTTCGTCGACGCTGCCTACAGGGTCGGCGGCATCGGCCGTAAGACCTTCGCCATAAAAAGAGGCGCCATGCAATCTGGAGAGGTATCATGGCCCCCCATCATGGCATCCACGCCCCACCCAGTCATCACCACCCTCTTGGCCTCTCCCGATAAGGGAGGGGGGGAGGGGCCTGGCAGGTCCCAAGGGGGGGGTCCCCCCTGTGGACAGGGGGGAGACAAGGGGACCACCCCCTCCAGGGGGGTCGCCAGTGGGGGGTGCAGAGGGGGGGTCCACCTGTGGTGGGGGGGGTGATCCTCCCGGGTCAGGATGCCCCCCCCCCCCCCCCGGGGTCCCGGAAGGACCCGTGGGGCGCGCCAGCGGGGGTCCCAGGGGAGGTCCACAGACCGTAAGACCATCACAATGAAGAAGCAACGATGATCACAACGAGAAGTGAACGTGGAAACGTCGGTGCCGATCTTGATCAACGTCCATCTTGGTCAGCGTTAATGCGCGGATCATGGGCGCGAAACGGTAACAGCCGGCATGGACCATGACCAAGATCGTCCTCCTCCTCCTCCTCCTCCTCCTCCTCCTCCTCCTCCTCCCCTCCTCCTCCTCCTCCTTCCCCTCCTCCTCCTCCTCCTCGGCTCCTCTCCTCCTCCCTCCTCCTCCTCCTCCTCCTCCTCCTCTCCTCCTCCTCATCATCATCATCATCATCATATCAGCAGCAGCAGCAGCAGCATCCCTCCTCCTCCTCCTCCTCTCCTCCTCCTCCTCCTCCTCCTCTCTCCCTCCTCCTCCTCCTCATCCTCCTCCTCCTCATCCTCCTCCTCCTCCTCCGCCTCTCTCCTCCTCCTCCTCTCCCCACAACTCTTGATCCCACTCCGCCCCTGCCAGGGCGAACAGGGAGCCCGAGGAAGCGCGGGGCCAGTGCATGTGAACGAGCATGCCCCCCCAAAGTTCGCGGGGCAGCCCTCATGCCACGAACGCTCGGGCAGTGTGCTATCTCTCTCTCTCTCTCCCTCTCTCTCGAAGTCCACGGGAATTCCTGCGCGCACGCTCAAGAGATACAAGGTTCGCTCGGGGCGGGCTTCACGTCAAATGGTAGCCGGCGTAGCCAAAAACAGTAGGACGTGTACGTGCACCTCTGAGTCCAAATCCCCTCCTAGGCCGTTCGAGGTTTGGAGCGACCGAGGTGCACTAGGTCACTCCCAACACACTGCACATGCCCAGGCAGTCTGGAGTCTTTAATGTTCCTTTCATTGACACCGTCAATTGGCTATCCTATCCTCGCCTCCTCTTCCTCCTCCTCCTCCTCCTCCTCCTCCTCCTCCTCCTCCTCCTCCTCCTCCTTCTCCTCCTGCCTATAGTAGGTGGTGGTGGAAAATGGGCCCATCACACCCCGCGCAGCAGCAGCAGCAGCAGCAGCAGGCAGAAGCAGCAGCAGCAGCAGGCAGCAGCAGCAGCAGCAGCAGCAGCAGCAGCAGCAGCAGCCCGGCAGCCCGCCTCGGCCGCCAGGGGCGCCGCCGCCCCCAGCGCCGCCGCGAGCAGCCACGCCCGAGGGGCCGCGGCCAGCGCGGCCATCGCGCCGGGGGGGGGCCGGCGCCCCGAGGGGGGCGCCGCGGGGGGGGGGCCCGCCGCGGAGGCCGCCCCGCGGGGCCCTGCGCCCAGGCGCGGCGCTGCACGTGAGGGGGCCCAGGGGCACAAAAAGGCGCACGGTAGGTTCGGGCGGCGTCGGCGCGCGCGCGCAGGGATTTTTGGCACCGCGTCGGTCGTTCGAGGTTGAAGCGATCGCGACCCCGATCGTTCCAAAGGGAGTTCGGTCGGGTCCAATGGCGTGGCGGTGCCAATCGGTGCTTCCGCGTCGCAGAATTCAACTTTGAACGCCTTCGCAAGCGTCGCCGGCGCGCCAACGCCGCACAAACCTGCCGTATACACAGACGCACACACACACACACATGGAGGAGCCCCAGGGCGACAAGGAGAGAGGAAGCCGGGCCCACTCAGGCAAGTCACAGGCTGCGGCAGGAGAAGCGCCGTAGACACGCACATACACACACGCACACACACACACACACACACACACACACGCACACACACACGCACGCTTTTTGCGTCGGCAGCCAGGCAGGGAACGTCTGCGCTGGCGCTGGGGGGCCTACACGGGGGTGCCGTCAGAGCGAGCTGTGCCACCGTGCAAGACGAGGAGAATGGAGAGGCGCGGCCGAGAAAGGGGGACGGAGCGAGCGGCTCCGGCACACACACACACACAGACACACACAGACACACACAGACACACACACACATGGATATATACACACATCAAAATCCCAGGGTCCCCAGCTGCTCCCACGTGTTCCTAATTTTCGTCTTCCCCCCCCTCCCCACATTTCCCCGTGGTCTCCTGGGAATCGACGCTTCATCGTGTCTGTGTGATGTTCCCCCTTCCAGAATACAATCGGACTCAGGACAGAAACACATCCTTCAAGAACGTGAGACCCGCCGCCGGCCAAACTGAGGAAGCCCTCGAGGGTACCCTCTCCCGGAATGCATCAGAGCATCCAGCAGGCACGAAGGACATCAGGGTAGCCTCCCCGAACCGACCCAGATCTGACACCTCGGCCCGGCTGCAAGACGAAGCGATGACGAGGGCAGAGTCGGGTGAGGATACAGCCGCCGACACAGCCGGCGTGGGTAAGAGTGAAGGGGCCCTGGGACACACAAATAAGTAGACGCTAATAGCAGGATTCCCCGTATGTTCCAATATTTTTGGGAGTTTTGTCTTCCCCCCACTTCCCATAGTTTTCCAGATTTCTGGGGAGTCGACGATGACTTGTGTCTGCGTGTTTTCTCCCCTCCTGAGAGAGGCCCGTCGCCCTCGCGGTCTGGACTCCGGGGCGCGATCCCGCGGATGCGCGGCCGCGCGGGTGCGCTCCGCAAAAGGGCCACCGCGCAGAGCCGCCCCCCGCACTGTCGGGCCGCCGGACGCAGGAGCGCTGCACAGAGACCGCGGCCCCTGCTCTGGGCACGGAGATCAGGAGCCGAGCTCTATACACCGACGCCTGTGTCTGGCCTCACACTGGATCTCGCACAGGAAAGCGGATCCTGGTGTATACATTCTTCGTTGTTTCCCCGGGAAAACGGGGACAAAAATGTACACCACACCACCCCGACGTCGTCCCCGACCCTCAAAAATGCCTGGGATTGAGAAACCGCCCGCCACTGGTAATGTGTATGCTCCAGTTTCCGAGAGAGAGAGCCCGGGTGCACGCGGAGGGTTCGAGAGGGGAATAACCACGGACTGAACAGAGGAACCGCGAATCCCTGCCGAACGGCAAGCGGCCCTTCCTGCAACGCCCTCGATGCATCCGCGGGGCCGCGGCCTGTCGGGGACCTTCTGGCCCGGGCCAATCTGGACCCGGGTCAATCAGGCCTTGCGGAAGCCTGCAAAATCCTGCACCCAAGCCCGGGTCAGTGCGAAGGGTCTGCGAGATCCTGCAGGATCCTGAATCCGAGCCTGGGCCAAAGGGCCCCTGGCCCTGCAGGATCCTGCAAAATCCGGCGCTCTGGCTGAACCCCGTCTGCATTGACCCCCGGGCACCCGAGCCTGGGGGGGGCCCGCGAGGCCGCGGAGGAGGAAGAAGATGAGAGGGACGGAAGCATCAGGACGAAGGAGGAGGAGGAGGAGGAGGAGGAGCGGGAAGTTGGGTGTGGAGGAGGGGCGAAGGTGAGACGGAGGAGATAGGGGGAAGGAGGGGAAAGAGGGAAGAGGAGAGGAAGGCTCCTTCCCCGAGCCCGGTCGAGGATTGGCCCCGCGGCCAGTCCTGCGGGCCCTGTGCGCTGCGGTGGGGTGGCTGTGATGCAGCGGGCGCGCGCGTGGGGGTGGCGCCAAACGGCGGGAGCGGTCAGAACACGTAGCGGGCCTTCCTCTTCAGGACCACCAGAGCCATGAGCCTGCGTACGAGGAGGGGGCAACTCTGCGGGATCGGCAGGGAAGGGGGAAGCAAGAGATGAGGAAGCGGAGGAGCAGGAGAAACTGGAGCAAAAGACAGTAAGAAGAGGAGGAGGAGGACAAGGCGGAACAGGAAGGGAGGAAGAGAGAAAGAGAGAGAGAGAGAGAGAACAAACAGAAGATGCTGAGGAACCTGTATGCAAGAAAGAGGCCGACCAGCAAGAGTGTGTAGCTCAGCCTCATGTCTTCCCTGATGTCCTGTGCTTCAAGCACAAGTTCGCCCCCGGCACGGTCATCACCGAAGAGAAGGAATGATAATTAGGAGGAGGATGACGGAGAGGAGGGGAAAAGTGGAGAACAATGAAAAGGATGAGAGGATGAGGATGACGAAGTCACCGCCAAACTCAACAATACACACGAGGTTGATGCCGTACTTGAGGGTGCACACATCCGCCACCGTGCCTTCAGCACGCATTGGAGTGTCCCGCGACGCATGCATACCATAGCGCGAACGAACGTGATCGATTCATCAAGGCCTGGGCAACCAATCTCCCAGAATCCCTGGGCACTTTGGGACGCTTTCCGCATTTCTGGGCCTCCGGGAGCCCAAAATCGCCCAAGTCGACTTCAACATCCCCCGGGAACATCCCGAGAGACCCTCCAGAAGGCGTAGGACCATCGGTGGCCCCAAGGAACCGCCATGAGGCGATCCAAGTGCCCCTTGGGCAGTCTCAGAATTCCCGGGGGCTGGCCCAAGATGCCGGCATGTGGAGTCGCTGGCTCTCAGTGATGACTAGTACACCGCCACCCTCCCCTGAGGCCCAGGGGCAGTGGCGGCGCGCACCAGGCGGTCGGGGGGAGGGGGGAAGGCCCCTTGGCAGGAGGCTGCCGCTTGGAAGGCGCCGGCCCCACATCTTCAGACAAGGTCCGCGCCCTCCCTCTCTTCCTGCTCCGTGTCCTCCTCCCCCATCTGTTCCCCAAAGGGTTTCCACAAGGGCTGAGGGAACGCATACAGTGGAGGCCAGTCCACAAGAAGCCTTCCACAAGAAGCCCAGCCCTGAGACCCCAGGACGTCCATTGATTTCTGGTGGGAACGACGCGCTCTCCATCGCAAAGCCATCGAACCCTAAGAAACCCAGGGCACCCTAGAGTCAAGCAGGGTGGTTCTTGGCATGGGTCTCCACAAACATCGAGTATCTTGGCCGAGCTTTGACCCAACGTTTGGCCCACGAAGGCCAGGGGGGCGGCGGGGGCTCGCCGAAGGCATCGTCGATACTGCACCCACCGCAGGTACCAAGGCACGTCCTTGATCTGCAAGAAGAGCCCCGAGAACAAAACCTGAAAGGGGCCCTAGGACATACAAATGAGTAAACACGAATCCCAGGAGTCCCCATATCTTACCAGATGTTCTGGGTTTTCGTATTCCCCCCACCACACTTCCCATATGTTCCCATAGTTGCCTGGGAGTCGACGGTTAATTGTGTCTGTGTGTGTTGCCCTCCTGGAACCTGTGGTACGAAAATGACTGGCGCGAGCTGGATTGCTGCAGCCGGCGACGACGTGCAGCATCCCAGCCAGACGGCCATGCTTGCCGCGGCGTTCGCCTGCAGCCACACGTAGAGCCAGAACAGCAAGTAGCCGTGGAGCCCCCTCTGGAAGCCCATGGCGACGTAGGAGGTCGTGACGAGAATTCCGACCTGGGGAGCACCAACAGGCGAGGCTGAGGATTGCGCCACAGACAGCCACCAGAGGTAGTCGACGTTTTCTGATTGATTGTGTTGCCGATCGGCGCGGGCCCTCGCACCACCTCCCCCCCCTCCCGTGGAGTAGACCTTGGCTGTTTTGGGCGCCCGTGTCAAGCAGGCGGCGTCTCCCCCATGGGGCGCACTGAGGCAAACCGTCGCACCGAGCAGATCTCTGGAGCCAGACACCCCCTCCCCTTCCGCCGAATGCCGAAACGCCGAACAAGAACACGCTCACGTGCTCCAGGCTGACCTCCGCGGGGCCCCAGCGTGATCAGCCCAGGGCGGTCCCCACGCCACACCACGTGAGGAGGAGGAGGAGGAGGAGGAGGAGGAGGAGGAGGAGGAGAGGAGGAGGAGGAGGAGGAGGAGGAGGAGGAGGAGGAGGAGGAGGCGGAGGAGGGAGGAGGCGGAGGAGGAGGAGGAGGAGGAGGAGGAGGAGGCGCCGCCACGAGCGGCGCCCGCCCGGGCCATCCCCTGAGGGGGGGGGGACGTGCCGAGGCCAGCCTCGGACCGCCTCCGGGCGCTGCCCGTGCACAGGTCTCGGCCCCCTGCCTGAGCCTCTGCTAGGAAGGCACCAACTCTACACCAACACCGATCCTGGCCAGGATCAACCTGGGCCCAGGATCGGTGTATACGCCCTCCTGCCACGGGCAGGATGCATATACACCGATCCTGGGCCCAGGATCGGCCTGGGCTGGATCGGTGTAGGTGTATAGTTGGTGCCCTCCGATCTGCTGAGCAGCAGTAGAAGGATCCCTGACCCGTTGGGAGGGGGCCTGAGTCAGCAGGGCCAGAAACACTAAGGTGATTGCTGTTTTTTTTTCTCTGCCGGTGTATCGAACCGAACCGCCCAGATGTAGTATCCCGAATGCGAAGACGGGGCCCCA